ACGCCTAAAGCCATCCTTTAAAAAAATTTCATTCAAAAATCCTAGCCAGCGAATTCATTGAAAACACTCGTGAAACTGTCTCTCAAGTTAAAGCCGATGAATTTTGCGGCTGAGTTGTTCAAGCCTTCTTTATATCTCGGCCGAAGCGACTTGGTGACCCTGCCTGTTGAGTCGTCTTGATAAGCAGTTACCTGATAACATTACGGCAGCTTCTTACGGTTGAGGTTGTTTCAGCTCCCTCCTCTATAATGAGAACGTCGCTGTTCATTTCCACCAAGCATCCGACCAAAAAGGGCTTGTTGATGTGATGAACTTCCAAGAAGCCCTGCTTAAGAGAACGAAATACAAGACGCAGTTCAGAAGTGGGATCATTTTTGGGTTACCACAGGACTTGAGAGTAGTTGAGAAAATCTCCCAAGGCTAAATCTGACTCCAGAGCCATGCAATGGGCTGAAGGTCATCAGAGTCAAATCTCCTCGAAGTTTCTTCTAGATCATCGTTAGCGGCGTGGTAACGAACCGACCACCGTCCACTTAGTCGCCGACGCCCGGCGATAAATCGCGGTCAAACGGGCGGCCAGAACTGCTCAGCCTGAACTCAGCGAGGCGTTTTTCGGTCCAGGCACGGCAATGACGACGATGCTGACGGACAGTCAGCGATCGAGCGGCGATATATCGTGAACAAGGCCGCTCCGAAGTTTTTCAATGTGCGCCGTTTTGTCTTCCTCATAGGCGCTGACCGACTCGGCCGAGAGCAAGGACAAGTCGGTTCCTTGACCTCGTAGATATATCTATGCAAGTTGTCGGCAAAAGCGCAGCCAATCTACTAGCGTCGTATCGAAGGGCTCGTGTTGGTGATGAGTAGAGGCACGGTAAGTACCCTCCCCTTCGAAAAGCGAGGAAGTGTCGGGTGCAGACGTCGGCCCTAAAATGTTGTGTTTTCTATCAATGAAATGATTAGCCTGTTGTAGTTGTATCCTATCGATTGTCACTAATTACAGCTATCATTTACCAGAAATCAGCTATCATTATAAACAAGAGGAGCGGGTTCTATTCCCGCCTGGGGCGAAAGTTTTGCTCATAACCCAACATTCTTGTGAAACTATGAACAACATCTAACCAGATGTACTTGGAAGCCGTCGTCAGTTGTGATGTTTGGTCTGCACCCGTCACTTTCTCGCTTTTTGTAGAGGAGATTATGCTACGCTAGAGGGTACCCCCCAGGAGGCCCATCGCGCGGCAAGAAGGCCGAGTTGAATGAAAATAGGATGCACGGCTTACCAAAGAATGGGATCGATCAACGCCGAAATTTCCTCTTTTCTTCTTTTTGAAACGATCAATGAGTATGATAAATAAGCCCAAAGAAATAAAATCGCAAGAATACACTCCCGAGTGGAAATGATTCACCGTGAAATAAGTTACGCAAAACCTGACCCTTGAGAAGAACTGGTCCCATCCGGTCTAGACGATTCGGTGCAGGTCAGTGACTCATTCCATAATATGATTTTGCCTTATAAAAAGTAGTCCCATGGGTCATTTGAACTACACAGGTAACATATTGCAGTCTAATAAGAAAGGCAGAAAGTTTTCGCACATCTTCCACAAGTTTCAGCAAACAAAGAGCAGCACGAGTGAACGGGTGTGGCACCGATTCGTTTTCGAGAACGAATTTCCATGAAGCGGTTTCAATCAAATCTAGCGCAACAGTTCACGTCGCCTCAATGAGTGCTCGATCTCATCAGATATCGCTTGTGCTCACAATTTGCAACTAGATCTCAAGAATTGTTAAGGAGTTTCATTAAATCTTTTGCGATAATAAGCGCTATCACAAGAGAGGGGAGCATCCTCTAGGGCTAAGCCTAGGAGGGCAGGAACTTAAAAGAAGAAACTGCACACGCATCTTGAAGTTTCTTCTCCTTTGCCCGAGGCTTTATCCCATTTTAAAACAGAACGGAGGTGCTTAACGCGGTTTTGAACGCATTGCCACCACTATGCCCCCGTATCTTGCAATAGCGCCCAATAATGCGAATCAGAGATGGAAAAAAGAATCATAGATCTTCAATTACCATGTCCAGCTTATTCCATATTATTTAGGGACCTTTCACGGTCCACAAGCCAATCACTCACTACTTAGATGACTTGTTTGGTTTTATTTACTTCTAAATAATATCTAATATCTAAAAATATCCTTAATATCTGAAACAGAGATGATGAAGTGGCAAGCGGGAACACCCACTTACCCGTCCGCATCTTCTGAGGGTCAAATCCCGAATCAAATCTCGCCAAGGCCAAAATCATTCATTCTCTTGAGATCGAATAATTGGTACCAGACTCGAATGGTATGGTGCAACATTTACCCTTACTACTCACATCGTGTGGCCTGTAAGGTGTCGCATAAGACAAATCGCGTTGAACATGCTACTACAATCCGGAAAGGAAGTAACATGCATGGCTCATCTAATAACCAGCCAGTCAAAACCGAATGTTTCGGAATGTGTCTACTTCAGCTTTGATTTTTTCCTCTCCTCGATTACCGTTGATTTTTAATATCGCAGGTGCTGGCAGTGCCTTTCCCCATTCACAAACCGATATGCGTTTAGAGGAACTGACAGTCGGCACAGAGTCGTCGACAGGGGGCTGTGGCGTGATGAAAACTCGTTCCGGAACGTTTTTACAAAACGCGCCCCGTGATCTGCCAACGACCCTTCTGATAGTAATAAACACTTCACGTCTTATCGATTGCTACTATGTGCCTGATTATCGAACGAGGTGATAAAAGTACGAATTGAATTAGATTGCGAATGGCGAACACATCCAAAACCTTGATCAACTACTACAGATTTCGCTCGGGCTACCCTTTCGGCCCGTAATTGCTCAAGGTTGACCCCACCACCGGACAGGGCGGTAATTAGTAAGTAGCTCTTACAGCAATAGCACATACTTTTCTACTCAGTACAGTCCAAGCACTTAAAAGTACCTATAAAGGAAGAGGTATAAAAAAGGGCAAGGATATAGCTTAAAATGGAAAATTCGGCAAATAATTGCAGAGGTGGTTCACCGCATCTGCAATTAGGCCTGACCTAGTTATGAGTTTCGGAAGGAAAAAGGAGACTGAAAGAGCAAGCGAGAGATAGAGAGGCGTTACAGTTCTCCACACTCAGACTCATGGCACTTGGCACTGGAACAGGTCGACTACCTTGCCGATCCACTGACTTTGAATGGTCTTCTTACCCCCCCCCCTAACTAGAAGCCCCTCTATAAACGTCCTGTCCCAGGGTTTCATGGGCCTACCGCACATTTGATTCGCCACAACTGACCTACTTAGGGTGCAGGATGTATTCTAAAGTTGTGTTCCAAATGCCTTATTCACCCCTCACCCTTTCGAGCGGCTTCCCGTACGGTACCGTTAGATAGGCTAGAGAGAATTACAGAAATAGTAAGGAGCTAGGAATGTTCCTAAGCAATCGAACGGCTCTAAAATTGGCCTGGTAGTCCACGAGAAGTGTTTGACAATGGTAAGGTAGATTATGGCATTTTGGGACATGAATGAACGACTACCGACGACGCCGACAACAACGACGACGATCGACTCGAGTCGGTCGACTAGCCAATGACAAAGTGGGCGCCACTCAAAAACAATTGACAAGGACGTCGCCGCCACAGTCGCGCACCGACACACAGCCACGGTGCCAATGCGCGCAGTCATCAGAAGC